AAGGAAAATAAGGAAGACGCCAGTCAGTGGCACAGTTGAGAGGCCCCAATACACTGCTAACACCACTAGTTTGTCTCTGCTCATGGCAGCACACGGTGATCCACTGTTGGTGCCAAACACCCCGATTTGGTGGGGCAGGAGGAAGCAGCCTTGAACAGGGAGAGGTTTCACCAATGGCTGTAGGTGTGGAGTGGCACAGAAAGGAGTGGCCTTTGCCTGGTGGCCACTGGGGTCCATCAAGGTTTGAACATCAAGGACATCCAGTGTGACAGGCAGTGATTGCATGTAGTGATAAAATTGTGCAAACTGTTCCCATCTATGAAGGCACACTTCCACGCTCATATCCTTAACCTATGAGAGGAAACCTAGGACTGGGTTTGACAAGAAATTCAAGTATCTAGAGGTGCAGGTGGATATCCATGGGGGATTCTGAACACACCAAGGCAAACATCCTTAAAGTGGTCTTGGAGGTCAGGCTGTTTTTATACACCAGCTAAGCAAGGGTGTGTAAACAGTTGTTCCAGAAGAGCGAGAAAGAAAGGCTGGCAGTTGCATCTCCACAACAGTCCAGTCTTACAGGAATCAGTCATGGTTTTTCCTTGTGCTGACACTGACAGGTCTAGGGAATTAGACCAGTGTTTTTCACTGGGTTGGGTTTTCCAGTAGATCATCACAGATCATAATGAAACTGCTTCCCTTATTCTGGTCTCTTTCCTCCCTCGGGGCAGAGACCTAGGGCCACTGGAGGTAGAAAAGGCCTTAGTGCTGCAAATGCATCCTAGAGTTCCCTGTGCTGTAGCCTGCAGGCAGGACCATACATGGTCAAGTCATCGTCCCTAAAATTCCTGAAGGGCATACCTGCCTGCATCAGACATCGCTTTGATTTGTGTTGTGGTGTGATTTGTACAACTGCTTGGGGAGCAGTTGTAGCTCCTGCTCCACTCCTTCTGTGCTGTCAGATATATGGAAAAACTTTCCTACTTTATTTAAAAATAAGAAACCTGGCTTATTTTGAAGAGTTTCGTCATTGATTTCACTGAAAGAAATGTTACTGAGATTTTGTTGTTGCTGTTGTTCTAGCTTCCATTCACCTTTCTGCATGCTTTCACCCTTCATAGCTGAATTGTGGCTTTTTATTTCAAATGAACAGGTGAGATGATACTTAATTAAAGCTCCTGTGATGGAGCTGGTGATCATTAAAGGGTGATGATGTGCAGGGTGAACTCGTCTGTTTATCCACAGTGCTAATTGGGCTTGAGAGGTGGGTGTTGTGCCACTGTCCTACCTGGAGAAGCTGCCTCTGAAGCACAAGTGGTTAAACAATTTTCTGCTGCTTGGTCTCTCTTCTGTGACTGCCAGCAAAGGTAGCAATTACCAATGTTATCTCAGGAGAACTTCTGTATCTGGATAATTTGGAACTGGGAAAACACACTGACATCTCAGCAAATTTCTTGCAGGCAGGGCAATATCCCTGACCTGGTCAATAGTGCAAGAAAGTTGTTACCTAGACTAAGTTTGTGCTAATACCTTAGGGCAAAAGGTTCCATATCCATTACAGGTCCCTTGAAAAATTTGGTTGTTTGAAGGATAAGCTCTACCCAGGCGCAGTCAAGAATGTGGTACATGCCATAAAGGGTGAGTCAGTTTGTGCCTGTCTTTCTAGCATTTTTTTAAGGCAACTTCTGTAGCATAGTTGATGCTTCCCATAACGAGTATGTATGCTGTTGTATTTGTTGTATGAAAATAAAGAAAAAAAATCATAGCAACACATTTGTTCTAGTGGAAACAGCCCAAATCAAAGGAGGTTTTTCAGGAATGACTTTCACAATTTGCAAATGCCTGAGGGGAGTTATGATAGCTGATTCTTTAGCCTAACTTTCAAGGGTACATTAGAATTGAGTGTCTGAGCACTGAAACACAGCAATCTGAGATTTAAAAAAAAAAAAAGGATAAAAAAGTAGTGTAAAATAATTGACTACTTGAAATAATTTAATAAGGGCTCTGTAGATGTATTTAACAGAAGTTGTAATGGATTTTTCATTGCTGGTACTTTTAAATCAAGAAAAATGTTTTGTTCTTGCAGACAGGAAATGTGGAAAAAATCTTACAACCACGTTAGTTCAGACTAGAAGATCGCAATGGTTGATTTTGGCCTGATAATCTGTAAGTGCATTGTCCAGAACAATATAGTAGTTTYTGTGCTCAAGTCACAAAAGTCCAGGGGAAAAAAAGAGCCATGCAGCCAACTATCTCTGAACACCCTCTGACACTTGCTGTCAAGGAAAGTGTTAGCAAAATGGGGGAAAGCTTGGCTTTCCAGGAAAGTAAGTGAACATGTCTTCTTTGGCTYCTTGATCACAAAACTTCCCAAACTTATCTGCAGCCAAGGAGCTGGTTGTGCTGCAGAAGTTCCCAAAGGAGATTCTCGTTTTTGCAATGTGCTTGTGCAGAGGTGTTGAGCCCTCGGTGTGGGGAGCTGATGAGAAAATGTCAGGCACTTCTGGAAAAGGAGTAGACAATATATGCAAATTGTTGGTATTTATTCAGTCATGTAGAGCAGCAGAATAAACATTATTCCTGACATTTCCATTTTTGATTAATGATGAATGGAGCTGGCAGATGTTCAGCTGGCCGCCAGATGGGGTCTGCTCAGTCCAACAAACAGAATAGGAACAGTCAGGGTCTGGAAAATCCAGCACTGACAAAAGCTTGACAAAATCTGTAGTTAGACCAATTGATACGCCAATTTTTACCTCAAAAGGACTAAGCTGTTTAAGAATGGAGGTAGTTCAACCAGCGAAACTGCTTATGGAAGTGAAATGGGYTGTGAAGGATGTGAGCTGGTTAATTTGCGGGAGTTTCAGCAGGTTTTTTTCCTGCCGCCGGAGCCACAGGCTGCGGCTTTGATTCGCTGTGGCTGGACCCTCGCGGGGCATTCTGCATTTACCCGGGGTTACAGGTGTAGTGGCCGTGTCTCGGGGCACATCGCCTCGCTTGCTGCTGGGGATGGCCCGCCCGTAGCGTCGTTAGCCCGACGGGCCGTGCCTCTGGAGATCAGATAGCCCGGCATTCGTGCTGGTCGGTCTGGCTGCGCTCAGGAGGAGCTGTGGACGCTTCTCCCGGCTCGCGTGTGCCCATCCGAGGGTCGGGGGCAGCCCGCGGGGACGGAGTGACAGGGCTGGGGACAGGGATGGGGACACTGCTCTGAGCGCCTCAGCCCGCGCCTGTACCCGTCCGGACCGGCTTCCTTCAGCGCCCTGCGGGCAAAGCCATTCAAATTTAGAGAAGTGAATTTAAATCCTTGCAAATTCGGTTCCTTGGGGAAGCGATAAGTGTCTGAGAAGTGCCCCGTCGCCGTCCCGCACGGCAGATAAGCCGCCCCCGGCCGCGGGACCTCGGCGGGGAGCGAGGGACGGGATGCGACGTGGGGGCTGGGTCGCCGCTGCCTCTCGCAGCGGTGGGGCGCGTCGGGGCTGTGTGTGCCGCTCTGACCCCGAGATGCAGCGCGAATAAATTCCCTTTGATAATGACTTCCCCAGGGAGACAAAGAGCGGGAGGGGAAGAGGAAATTTGACCGCGGTGTTCACGGTTACATTGGCGGTGCCGGGGGGAAGCCGTCCGCCTGCCTTTGAAGCCGAACCACCCGCCTCTCGGGGCTTTTTATGCCTACGGGGTTGGGGGAACTGGTAAAAGCGGAGGCTGGCAGTCTCTTAGAAAATGCCAGGTGCTGCTTCTCTGTGCTTTAAGCTGGGTCTCGGATGCTTCTTTCCCACTTGGAATGTGCCAAGGGAGGCAGTGATGGACGGCTGCTCTCAGTGATCCTCGGCTTCAGATGGGGTTTATTATTTTTATTATATTTCTATTATTCATGTACAGGGACCTAGAACAAATGTTTTCCCGTCCTGAACCGAGTCCTTCCTGTCCGGGTGCGCGGGGCGGTGGGGGCCGGGCCGGACAGGGTCAGCCCGGGGCGGCCGGAGTGAGTCCAGGGTGGGGTGGGAAATCTATTTCGGGCGTAAACACGAACAAATCACTGTCGCCAAASCGTGTGTCCGTCGTGTCCGGAGTGCAGAATTTATTGTTTCTRCAGGCCCTCGGTCCCCCGGGTGGGCAGGGCCGGCGACCCTTCATGCCTCGGGGCCAGTGGCAGGAGACGCTCCCTCTTCCCACACTCCCTCCCCCGCCTTGGGCAGCACTCGAACGGACATCCCTGGTGAGAGTCCTCTCGCCGCCTGATGGAGGAGCGGTGAGGGGCGCACGGCGCTGGGGTACGCCGGGGATCCCCCGGGAGGCGCTGCTGGTCCGGGGCGAGTTTGGGGAGGAGCGCTGGGGAGGGGAGGGGAGGGGAGGCTGCTCCCTCCCGGCTCGCCTCCCCGGGGGAGGGGGACGGGGGGCGGCGCAGGTATCTCCCGCTGCGCTCCCGGCAGGCGGGACGGGGAAAGAAAGCCCGGCAGGGACAGGGCTGGAGAAGCCCCCGCCACCCCTTCCCTCTGCGGGGTCGTGCCTGGCGCTGGCCGCTCCTCCGGACCTGCCGGAGACAGGGGGAGCCGCGGGAAGCTGCCGGTGCCTGTCCGGGTGTGTGGGTCTGTCCAGCCCCGGGGCTCGCCGTGAAGCTGCCGCGGCGGGACACGGGGTCGGGTCTGCAGCCAGCATCGCCTCTCCTGCGCTGCCTCCCCGGCTCCGCCAGCAGCCTGGCCGCTGTTCGGTGCMGCACAGAGGTAATTTGCGGTAACTCATATCCGCTCTCCCTTGCGGCAGCTCCGCCGGAGGGGCAGGGTAAACGGTGGGTGCGGGTGGATGCCGCCGCCTTTGCGCATCCGGCTCCAGAGCGTGGGGACCCGGGGGACTGGGGGTGCCTCGGACCCACCGTAAGGTATCTGAAACTTGGTCCGGATGGGAAATCCCCCACCTGATCTTCAGGGATCTCTGCCTACCGAGTAAGGCACCGTCCCGGCTGCTCCGAGGTGAGGGCGCACGGCTTGGCGGGGCTGTCAGGGTGCACGGGGCTTGGCGGGGAATTTTTTTACTTTTCTAATTTTTTACAGTTCCTGTCTTGTRACTTATTGAACACTTTCTTCAAGTGTTTTCTCTGGAAACTTGTCTCAAATGAGGGCTGTGAGCCCTAACAAAGAAGGGTGTTGTTCGACAGCCAACAGGTGATGGGGTGAAACCTGAGTATATGTGTACATTGGAGTAAAGTCTGGCTGCTGTTTAAAATAGAATTTAAAAAATCAATGGGAGACTGTAAAAGGCAAGATTTCCTTCTTTCTAAATTTGTACACCCTCTTMAGGGAGTGGGGGAGAAGCATCCGTGAGAATACCGCTTCCTCGGCTGGAGGTTTGGGTCTTGCCTCACTGCAATGTGCACTTGAGTTTCCATCAGCACTGTACAGAGCCAAGGATAACACGGCCAAATCAGATGTGTTGGCGTGGGGCRATGCTTTGTCACGGGGCTTCCTCCTTTTGTTAAATGCAGGTAGCCTGTCTTTGCAGTATGGTTCGTCACAAGAAAATACCCAGAGAAGGACAGTCCGACTTCCAGTTGGAAAAGTGATCTTTGCTCTAGGATGCTAGAGGAGGAAAGCAGTTAACTCCTCTGTTGGTCGTTGTACACTGGCTAACCAAAATAGTTCTTACTTCTAAGGTCCATCTAGAGGTCTTTTGAAGGAACAAGTAGACGGGCTCCATTCCTTCCCCACTGCGYTGGGTGGTTAATTTCTCAGAAGGACCCAACAGCTGAAGAAGTCGCTGTGTGCTGGTGCTGATACAGATTCTACTTGCCAACTCTGGATCCGGATTTCCCACACAGAGAGCTACAGAGCTCACTGTAGATATGCTATGTGTACTGTAGCTAGGGACTTCGTGATCATGTCTGTAATGCATATTRGAAACAAGCTTTGAATTATTAATGGCTACTTTATGGTGGTTTATTGCTGCTATATTGCACCCTTCCTCTTCTAATGTAGTTATCTTGCACCAGAGATTAAATAAGCAGGTGAATGGGCTGGCCATGCTAATCTTAACTCGTTGAGCCTTCATTGTGAATGGATGCATGTGATATGCATCTTGTATCCCCTATAGCCTTGTTAACAAGCCTTCTAACAAAAAAGTTGTTAAAACAATTTGCCCTGGAGGACAGAGTAAAACAGTAGGGGGTGGGCAAGGAGATGTTTGTCTAACTTTRCTTACAAATCATGACCTCTTCTATYTGGTCAGGGGGGAACATAATCAGTGAGCTGGAAATCCTAGCATGGGGGTAACCTTCATATGGGCTTCAGCAATAGCTTTGTTCTAAGTTTGATATCCCAGTATTTTGTGTACTCATAGCTTTGTAATTAGGAGTGTAGTTTGTCTTTGCCTCTGAGGAATTTGTCATATGACTGTTTTAATTCATCAGTGGAAAAAACACAGTAATTGCTTTTCTTTTCCAATCAAATTTARCTGTGTAACTCAATTATGTTATTCATAGTTGTCAACCTGCCAGTGAAATACCTCCTTGTAGGCTATAAAGCCTTTTTTGAGAGGTAGTATTTGAACAGAGCTGAAACCTCAAAATGTTCCATGGACTTTAGGAAAGCAAAGCAAAACAACACATCCTTGCTGTGTTCTGTAGATGTCATGGCAGGAGTAGAAAGACCACCTTTCTACTCATCCCTTGGAAAGCACTTATTTTTTCAGCTGTTGTTTGTATTCATTTGAATCCTYCTTAGGATGTAATCATTTTAAACAGATCACTTTGAAGGATGAGTGCGGCTGGGGGGCGGGGAGGAAGAACCCTGTAGTTTTAAAATGCAAACCAAATTACACTTGAGCAGGAGAGGAAGAAGAACTCCTAAACAAGCAATTGCTAAAATAGTTCTGCTGATAGCCTGCTGTTAAGATAGGCTGGATTAGAAACCTTGTCCTCAGCAACCCCACAGTATTTGTGATGCAGCTGTATTGATATGTGGTGTACTGTCAATCATTTTATAGCCAGCTTTACATTTGCTCTTTGGGAGCATTTTTCTTTTAACGTGAATGATGTCCTTTGAGCTGTCCTGATCTCAGTTCATTGAGATTTGCAGATCTTGCTTTGAACATTTCCAATCACCTTATCTGGGGAGGAGAACCCTGATTATAAAGTTGCATTTTACAGTTGGAGGTAAGGTATATTTTTCTTTTATTTTGTATCAGCCACACTTTCAACCTGCCCTGGAAGACTGGAAACTGGACCTGTGGGTCTGTGGTGTCCTCTTGTTGGAACTCATGTGCGTGCTTTTTGAAATGTGTGTCAGAGGAGGCCCAGGCAGGATGAGTCTCTGCAAAACAGCAGCCTTGTTTCTCTCTTACCAGTGCCTTGTCTTCCTTAGGAATTAGGCAGCATTCCTGCACTCCTTATGTACCTTAGCCATGCTTAAGAACCTGACATTGTCCAGTGCTGCTTTTTTTCAGTGTGGAAGTAGTATGTAGCCTTAGTGTTCCAAATATTCAGAAAAGTTGATACATCATTATGCATTTAGATTTTGGGTTGTTTCCTTGTCTTTAAGAGAAGTTGGAGAGTTAATTTTTGAGCTTGTGGTGGAGAGAGGGTTTTGAACAATCAATATGAAGCAATTACTCAGTTACTTGTGTGTGAGTGAGTGTTGTGTGTTCTTGTGAGTGTTGGGTATTGTGAGAACAAGGCAGGGGTTTGCTCTGCTCAAGTGCCCAAGCACTGCCAGTGCTGAACCTGTCTCTTTGCCTAAATTATATTTCAAATCTGCTCCCTGTGGTACATGGTTGCGGTCAGGCTGCCTGAGATATTGACAAAGATGTTTCACCTACTGACTCCTTTTCTTCCTGGGTTATTGGGCAGGAGTCAGTTCTTGAAAAGGGACTGTTTGACCAATACGAGTTCTTGCAATGCTGTTAAGAATTGGAAATACCAGCTTAGGCATCAGTGAGTGGCACATTATTGCAAATCAGATATCTGCCCCTTTCTAAAGGGAAATGGCAATACAGTTCATCTGCTGCTAAGATTGTCTTGGAATGAATTCAGCTTCTCAGTGATATTCATAGTGACTTTGTATTTAAGAATTATTTGGACATAGATGATGCGTGACGCAAGCTGCCAAACTGAGTATCCCTATCCATCAGCAACAGTGAACACTGTTGCTTTTTTTTGTTATAGTGATTTCCTAACTGCATCACAGTATTTCTGTCCCTCTTTCTTTGCACCCATTCTATGCAAGCAATAACAAAAATATACCTGATGTGTGACTTTATTTCCACTAGTAAGTGGGAAGGGGAAACAGTTCTGTATTCCTTATAATTTTTTCTGAGAACAACTAATTCAAGGGATACAGTATGTACCAGCAAGTCTGTCTTTCTGTTTTAAATATGTAGGATTGAGCTTTTAGGATTGAGTTTGGCTATATTTACCTTCCTTGAGAAAGATTGTAATGTGGCGATGTTAAACTCAGAAGCTGTGGTGCTAACCTTTAGTTGTACAACTTGAGTAAGATTTYAGACATGTGCCTGACAGCTCACCAGCTTTCCAGAAATAGCCAGTTCTCAAAGGGGAAGTTGGCAGGTTTGCTTGCCCCATCAGATATTAAATTAATCTTCTGTTACAGTGCAGCTATGAAGTGTGTTGGCATCTTAGCAGTGCACCAAAAATAGCGTGTATGTTTTTGAACCAGAAGTTTTTGAAATTTAAACAATTTAAGTTTTGAAAGTTAAACAATTTAATTTTTTAGAGCACTAACTCAGTGGAAGAGTTAAATAATCCCATCTCTTTTTATTTGGTGTGGGAATGTAYGTATTGAAATGCAGGTAGATTAGACTTTATACTGGATATTATAATTTCTCTGAGTTTGTAGCTTTTGGATGCATATGGCCACTTTTTATGGAGCAGGTTTGGGTTTATGTGCTGAATCATCTGAACCTGGCACTAACCAGTGCCTCACGCTTGAAGGAGAAACTCCTGTTGAGTAACCAGCAGAATATTTGGGTAAGCACCCTCAAATCTTCCAGTTGTGATCTAGGAGAAACTTGTTTTCTCTAATACGGTGGAGATGAGAATGAAAACATGGGACCCACCAGAAGATTTTAGACAGCTCTCCTCATTAGACCCACCAGCAAGGTTTATGTCAGGAGATTAACATTTTCTACAACTCGGGTGTGGCAGTGACAAAATCGGATCTGTGTTAAGATAAACAGGTGAAAGAATGTCCTAAAACGGGGAAGGCACAGCTCATGCATCGTGGTACTGTAGAGCAAGCTTGTTCCTATCCCAGGTGGTCAGGAGATCTGTCATGTTAGGACACCATCCTCTGTGGTTTTGGTATTTCATTGAAGTGCCTTGTCTGAATTTCCCGAGAACTTCTGCTAGAATCAATATAAGATATGTATCTTGTTAAGATTTTTACTCCAGACTGCTACAGATCTTGGTGAGAGCCTTCTTTGCCAGTTGTGACTCAATGATCCCACTAATATTAAGCTTTGCAGGCTTCATGAATCAACAAAATCATCTCCCTGTAGGGTTTTAAATTGACAGAACAATCATGATGTATTTTACAGAGACTAATCTGGCATAATTGGACTTCAGATATTTAACAGGACCAACGCCCTTCTGCTCCCATACAGCTAAACCAAAGTTCTCAGAGGAATCCAGCAGATATTTGCTGCTCTGTGCCGGCCTTGTGAACAACAGTGTGCTGCTTGCACAACTGTCTTTCCCCAATAATGTCTTTAGTTTTTGACATGTGGTTGTCATGTTTTTTGTTTTCCTGGGTTAGTGGTAGTAATGACTTCAGGAAAAGCTTGTGTCTTTCCTGTTGTTTGTATCTGCTCAATGATTCTTTCCTAGATATACCTACATAAAGCCTGTGATGAGAAACAAGCAGAACTGTAAAAGGTGACACGTGTTAATACTGAAATACATTGCAGTTGCCAAAAGTGGTAGTCTGTGCCTAGGTTTTTGGTTTTGTTTTTCTCGAATAGTTTTACAACTCTTTTAAGTATTTTTGAATTGCTTGTAGCAAGTTGTAATGAAGCTCCAATAATTTATCGTTCAGCGCAACACAACGGATAATAAAATGTTGTAAGATCATTTACACTGATAATTAGTTGTCATGTTCAAATTTATGAAAGCTCTATTAATCTTTTTTTCCAGATCAATTGCTTGATGAGCTGCAGCTGAAATATTTAACACTTCACACTTATGCCATTGGAGATGGAGCCCAAAGCAAATAACCTCGTTTTTGGGTGTCAGCGAAGTTCAACCTCTGATGATGACTCTGGCTGTGCCTTGGAGGAATATGCCTGGGTGCCCCCAGGCCTCAGACCAGAGCAGGTACCAACCATATTTCTGCATTTTAGAAATAAGCCTCGTAAGGACTGTCTAAGGGAGTGATATGCTGTGTCTATAAGTCTAATTAAATTTTTATAATGTATAAAACTTTAATTCATGTAGAACTTTTCACTTCTTTTCTGTTTCCTGTCCAATAAGGCTGTGTGTAGGGAACTTAAAGTTCCCGACCCTGAGGAGTTTTATGTTTCAAAAAAAGTTCCCAGTCAAGGTTTTTCAAAAAGTATATGCTGCAGAGGTATGTATTGCCAAGTCTAAAAGCAGCATAGAAGTTTGCTTTCTTTTTGAAAGAAGTTATTCAGTTAAATTAAAGCTCATGGCACACCTCATGACACTGTGCTCCCTGGCCACATATTTCACTATACTTGTATGACTCTTTAAATAATTAGGCATTTGACATCTAGAACATGGATGGTACTGCAGTGCACATAAATGAAAGTGTTCAGTCTGTACAGGTAATAATGTATTTTACACTTGTTTAAATAGTTGTATAGCTGCTGTTTGTTCATGCCAAGATTTYTCTTGCATGGTGTCTGGAGCTGACACTTGTGGGTTGGTTGGGCTTTCCCCTCTCTTCAGTTGAGTCGGTTGGATCTTTCCCCTTTGTTCAGTCCCCTTTTTTTGTGTGCCATCACATGGCAATGGAAATAAAACTGAAATTATTGAAGACCAAGTTGCTGTGGGAGACCACAATGAACTGCTCATGGTATCCATTCATGGTATTGATGATATTGCAACTGTGCTGAAGGTGTGTACTCAGTAATGTTCAGAACTCAAGACTTCAACATTCAATGGCCAGGGTGGCTTTGTAACATCTGCTAAAGGAGGCAGGGCAATCCTGGCAAGCTAATACAGTCCATAGTTTAAAAAAGTGCAGAAGGTGTCTCTCTTTTTTGCAATGCAGAGATTTTCTTAATCATGAGTAAAGTAACGAGTCAGCAGGAATGGCAAATAACAGGCTATTTTTAGGGCAACTCTTTTTATCACTTATTTAAGCATCTATAAGAATCCTGATGAATCAGACCTTAAGGCAAACAGTGAGCTAACATTCTGCCAGAACAATTAAATACCCTAAAATATCCTCATAATCCCAGCTAGCCCAAACTCACTAAAGATGGTGGGGAAGTGGGTTCCCTAGAAGAATTGCTTATTTCATGAACAGTGCAATARACTTGAGAAAAGGGCATAAAGTACTTTTAAAGCTTCACTTCTTGCTGCATGTTATCTTTTTCTGGAGCATCCTGAAATACAGTCAGTAGCAAGTAGGCTTACTTAATTGTTTATATTTTGGTTAAATTTACATGTTTTGTACAACCTGTCTCTCATAATTTTGATTGCTTCCTGACTTAGGTGACTGATTAATGCTTTTTTTTTTCATCTGTCTTACACAGTAATAAGCTGTTCACCTGAGCATTATTTAAATCTGTATGGCAAGTCATATTTTTGCCAATAGTCAGCTCTTACTTATAGCCCCAGGACTCGTGACAAGCTGGAAACTGCATAGGAAAAACAATAAATCTGTAGCTGTTCTACAAAAATATTTTTTGCCATTGGGCTTTGTTGTAGTGTTCATTACAGCTTTCCTGTCATAACACTCTTCTGAAAAAAAAAAGAAGAGTGAAGATTGATACAAAAACATTCATCCCATGAAAATTTCCTGGTTAATTTGCATGTGATTGAAATGTGGCTGGATCCAGCCTCGTCCCAAGGGAAGGATGTTTCCACCTTCTTACCAAAGCCCACATGGAAGCAATGAAAGCTGATGCTTTGGGTGAACCTGATCAGCAGGAGACTACAAAACAGCTTTTGTCTCAACAATGTGTAAAATGCAGAGAGCAAATTAAATTTGTTTATATAGCGGCTGTTTTCTGGAAAGCTTCATGCCTTGTGTGGTAAATTGCAGAGGGAAACTTGGAATTTTCATGGAGTTGTTGACCAGCCCTGAAGGGGGTGGGAATAATGAGAACATTAAATGTGCATAATTTATGGTACCCCCCTAATTGTCACTGCAAATTGCATTCCAGAAAAGCAATTCAGCAGCTGGGTGCTAGTTTTATCAGAGACAATTCAGGTTTGCTGAGCTGGTTCATCTGGGTCTTGTATTTTCAGCACAAACCCTGTCACAGTCTAATGTAGCGTGACCTTCTTCCTTCGTAAATGAGAGCTGAGATAAAACAGTAGCTGAAGGACACTGGCAGTGCTTGGGGGATGTGTGTCCCTGGGTCTGAACTCTGCATTTCTCCTGGGCAGGTCCAGCTGTATTTTGCCTGTTTGCCAGAGGAGAAGGTCCCTTACGTTAACAGCCCTGGAGAAAAACACCGGATTAAACAACTTCTCTATCAGCTGCCACCCCACGATAATGAGGTAAAAACAGAATTTGGGATGAACCATCAGGGCTTGGGTCTCCCTGGCAGCTTTTCCGTGAAGAATTACCTGCCTGTGTATTTATTACAGGCCTAAACCGCGGCCTGCGGTGGCATCTGAGCTCTAAAGCAGCACGGTGTGTACACTGAGTCCATTGTTCAGCTGTCCACTTGGCYTGTGTGCAGATAAGAGCTGTCTGGAAGGACACTGCCTTTGCTTGTTAGGGAGGATGGTGTCACCGCAATAAACTTAACACAAGTTGGTTTTATAGTGTTTGCAGCCACCCACCAATTACCAGGAGCCTACAAATTCCTGGAATTGCATTGTAGCTCACAAAAAGGATGCTTTGTGATAGGAAAAGGTTTGCATCTCAGTTATGCAGTGTAATTTGGAGTAGAAGTGGAAATAACAAACAAGCTCTTTGTAAGGAAAGGGGCGGGGGTGTCAGTACTTAAGATCTTGTGTATTCTGCAGTACTTAGTCGTGGGCACTTAACCATAAATCTAAAGGACAATGTAATGGCTGATTTAGGTTCTTTCCATTATTTTAGGATAGCAGTAGATTTTGGACTACCTTTTAAAAATCTTTTTCCTTGCCTAAACAACTCCTCAGTTTTAGCATGGTAAGGTTTCCTCCTGTAATGCAAAATCTCTCTCCATATTACTTCTTTGTTATGCAATATTACCTAAATATGAAGGTGGGAAAAGTTGAATGATGATTGGCAGCATGCCTGATGAATTCTTTGCATATATGCACTTACTCATCTGTTACATCCAAACTCGGTCTCTACAATGAGTTCTCCTGTGTTTTCACTGGAAGGTGAGATACTGCCAGTCGTTAACTGAGGAAGAAAAGAAGGAGCTGCAGATGTTCAGTTCTCAGCGCAAAAAGGAGGCACTGGGACGAGGCACTATTAAACTGCTCTCCAGGGCAGTGATGCACGCTGTTTGTGAGCAGGTAATATACCGGCGCCACAAGCCAGTACAGGACTGAATAATGTAAAACTGCAGTATCTCAGTATTAAAATTTAAACTTCTGTCTGTGTCTGAAAACAACAACAAAAGATTCTTTTTGAAGCTGCATGGAATAAGAAAGAAGGTAGTGCTTGCTTAAGCAAAATGTAACCTTTGATACTGGGAATGAATTGAGTCTTTGATATATTTCCTACTCAAAAAAAAAAACCCTAATGCTGACTTATACTAAAGTAATGACAAATGAAAAGCAGACATATGCTTTAAAATGTTATTTTGTATAGAATAAACTTATATTCACAAAAGGTTCATTGAGATGCAGTTCATCTAGACCAAAACTGATACCTTTTCCCTCTTGTCAGAATTTCAGAGTAAAATCTCATATTGGGTTTGGTGTTTTAACTTAGTTTAAATGCAAGAAGTAGTAGTTTTGGATGGGAAGTGTTCACTTTCTGGGTTTTCTCCTAGTGTGGTACAAAAGTAAATGGAGGCGAAGTTGCAGTTTTTGCCTCAAGAGCTGGGCCTGGTGTGTGCTGGCATCCCTCGTGTTTCGTGTGCTTCACATGCAACGAGCTGCTCGTTGACCTTATCTACTTCTACCAAGATGGGAAAATTCACTGTGGCAGACACCATGCTGAACTTCTCAAACCCCGATGTTCAGCCTGCGATGAGGTAAATAATCCACATTTTACAGCCAAGCTACACTCCTGTTCAGCTGACAAACTGCATCACTTGGGAAATCCCTAACTCCAGACCCAGTCACTTAAGTCAGGACTCTGCTGCATAGATGTGTTTGAAGGCTGAGGGGTATTTAATTTCTTRTCAAACAGGAAATATAAGCAATAAGGTGTTATTTTGAAAGCAAACACCTGTTTGTGTTTGGAACTGAACATTCTCAAATGTTCCAAAATATTATCCTCATAGAAGCTTCTTTAATGGCTGAGTTCCTAGTTGGTTTTTTTTTTTTTTTTTTTTTAAAATGTACTATTTTTCTTTCTTTTTATTTTTGTTCTTACAGAAAAGGTCAGAATGCCACAGTTGTGGGAGATTGTTGTTTCTATCTTTGTATTCAAAAGGGAACAAAATAAAAATAAATGAAGTGTGTGAACTGCAGAGTTATGATATTTGATATGCTCTAACTCCCAAGGTGAGGTTTTGGCCTCTTAACTAAAAGTATCCTTTTTATCTGTGAAAAGATAATTTTTGCTGATGAGTGTACGGAAGCTGAAGGTCGCCACTGGCACATGAAGCACTTCTGTTGCCTCGAGTGTGAAACAATCCTGGGTGGACAGAGGTACATCATGAAGGATGGGCGGCCGTTCTGCTGTAACTGCTTTGAATCTCTCTATGCAGAATACTGTGAGACCTGTGGGGAACACATTGGTAAGTGTGTCCTTCTCAAGCATTCAACTTAGAAATTAAAGGAAAGCTGATTTATGAAGTGATTTCACATTCCAGAAGTATGAATTGTGCAAGTAATTTTTTAGAGAGACCCACAGCATTGCTTTTTCTCCCTTTCCAGGTGTTGACCATGCTCAGATGACCTATGATGGACAGCACTGGCATGCCACAGAAACTTGCTTTTCTTGTGCTCAGTGCAAGACCTCTTTGCTTGGCTGCCCTTTCCTTCCAAAGCAAGGGCAGATTTATTGTTCAAAAACCTGCAGCCTGGGAGAGGATGTTCATGCCTCCGACTCTTCCGATTCTGCGTTTCAGTCCGCTCGATCCAGAGATTCCAGGAGGAGTGTCCGCATGGGAAAAAGCAGCCGGTCAGCCGACCAGTGCCGCCAGTCTCTGCTCCTGTCGCCGGCCCTCAATTACAAATTTCCTGGCCTTTCAGACAATGCCGATGATACTCTTTCTCGTAAGCTGGATGATTTAAGCCTTTCCAGGGAAGAGGCAGGCTTTGTTAATGAAGACTTCTGGAAAGGAAGAGTAGAGCAAGAAATGCCTGAAGACCCTGAAGAATGGGCTGAACACGAAGACTACATGACTCAACTTCTTCTGAAGTTTGGTGATAAAAGCCTCTTCCAGCAGCCCACTGAAGTAGACATTCGATCAAGTGAACACTGGATTTCTGATAACATGGTCAAGAGCAAACTGGACTTGAAAAAAAATAATCCAAGCCTAGCAAGTAAGAAGTATCAATCAGACATGTACTGGGCCCAGTCACAAGATGGCTTGGGAGACTCTGCATATGGCAGCCACCCAGGCCCTGCCAGCAGCAGGAAAATCCAGGAACTAGACATGGAACACGGGGCTTCAGGATACAAACACGACCAAACACCATGGTACGGAGGGTCACTCGAGTGTTTGTCTGACCTGAAACAGCAAGAACAAAGTGTTCGAGACTCAATGGATTCCTTGGCTTTGTCTAACATAACAGGTAATGGGGAAATAAATGAGTGGTTTTGGTGGAGAGGTTAACAAAACCATGTGTGTTGGAGTACTATGAAGCAAGATTTTTCATTTCTGTGATTTCTAAAAAGCTCTAGTAGCAAGAGACGCATGTAAATTAGGCGACAGCTAATCAAGCACATAATGTTTCACAGGATATGTTTCTGCTAATTAAATCCTATTAGATTCTTCTTTCCTTTTGAATTATCTTTCTTTTGCTTAAAGCAAAAAAATCATTGATGTTAAAGAGAATAAGAACGGTCTTAAACTACACATTTGTTATACACAAACCACTGCTTTAAGCAAATGACTATTTTTCCATACCTTATGTATAAGAAGTTGCATTATATACTAGGATGATATTAAAGATAATCTGCAAAACACTTTAGATAATTTCCTGATTTGCTTGTAAAAATACGTTGAAAATCTGAAAGGATGGTAAACTTCTTAGCCTTAGGAAATTAGATTTATGAGATTATCTCTCCCCATCGACTAAAGGGAAAYTGATAATCCACTTTTGTGAACCTCCTTGTCTAATGTGATTGAAGTTACCTAAAGGGATAGTGTGTTTAACCTTCCTTTCCTATTTCTGTAAAAACCCAAACCTGGCAGGTAGAGACCCATTTAAAAGGTTGTGCTATCATCATCTCCTTTCCTCCTGTGACCGGAATTATTGCAGCCAGTTGTTCAGCTGAGGCCCAGCCACAGGCTGGCTGTGTTTGCCAATCAGCAGTGGAGAAACTGAGGAGGGGAGCTTGGTTCAGGGACACGGGAGGAGGAGGCACTGGAGGCACCTGGACCATCACAGGGCATGTGACACTGCTGGTGTGGGAATGAAGGGTCAGTGGACACAAAGGTGGAGTACAGCAGGCCAGCTTACTTTTGATGGTTTTTTGAACTTAAAGATAAGTTTTTTTGAACTTACTGCAAGGCAGTAAGCTTGGCTTTCCTGTGGCAACAGCTGGAACGTGAATTTGGCAATACCAGAAAGGTGAAATATTTTTTCTTAAGAATGGCAAGCATAAGACTGTAGAATAATTTTAAGCAATCCTTTTTTCTTAAAAGGTGTAGCTTAATGCGTGTTTCAAAATTTTAAACTCATTGAACTTCTGCTTTTGATGTCCTCATGATAGCTAATTCTTTGGTAATCAGAGCTAATACTTATATGTTTTAAGTCAAAACAAAGCTTATTCTACTATGAAGAGAGTCTTTTCGGTAGTAGTTCAAATAAATACTTGGTGACAAATGTTTCATATTTTCTTACAGTATTGGTCTCTTTGATACTCCTCTCATTTTCCTTTTCCCCCTTTCTCCATTCCCACCACAGGGGCTTCAATGGATGGAGAAGGCAAGCCACGGCCATCTCTCTACTCTTTGCAAACTTTCCAAGAACTGGAGGTGGAGGACTGTGAGAAGATGAGCAATATGGGAACTCTGAATTCCTCAATGCTCCATCGGAGCACAGAGTCCTTGAAGAGTCTGAGCTCAGAGTTGTGTCAGGAAAAGGCTTTGCCAGAGGAAAAGCCAGTGCATGTGCCTGTGCTGAGACGATCTAAATCCCAGTCTAGACCACAACAAGTGAAGTTTTCAGATGATGTCATTGATAATGGAAGTTATGAGAATCTTGAAATACGTCAGCCTCCAATGAGTGAAAGGACTCGTAGGCGTGTTTACCATTTCGAAGAGCGTGGAAATCGGCCTTCTCACCGTCGTAGAAGAAGTAGGAAGTCTCGTTCAGATAATGCACTTAACTTAGCTGCAGAAAGAAGATGCTCTCCAAGAGAGAGATTTCGTTATTATTCCCCTCAGGATCATGAAAAATTTATTCAGAATAGAAGCTCACGTGAGCTTCGGGCCTATTTTCAAAATGCAGAGCTGTATGGACCATATGCCCATACCAGGTCTGACTATGCACTGAGGAATCAGATGGTTGATAAATTTTTTGGATTATATGGTGAGGAAGATGACTYCTGGTGTTCAACTTCATCCTCATCATCCGATTCTGAAGAGGAAGGATATTTTCTGGGACAACCAATTCCACAGCCACGGTCACTGAGATATCCATACTATACAGATGATCTTTCTGGTCCAACTACTGCGTTGTCTAGTTCTCAGTTTGGACAAAGGACAACCAAATCAAAGAAGAAGAGGGGACACAAAGGAAAAAATTGTATTATATCTTAATTAATTACTAGTATTTCTTAATTGGGAGGACCAGTCAATTCTGTAGCTACAGTTTGAACCACATCTTTTTATATTAATAATTGTACTTAGGCAAGTTGCTAAAGTTCGTAATGCTTTGCCAGTGTAAATGATAACCGTGCCAGAGTTTACATTGTAAAAGTAGCATTCAGAAATGTCACCACACCAAATGATCTGCTCAGATACTGCTAGGTTTACATAGTGTGTTTCAGCTGTCAAAATACTGTTACTGGAGTTCTTAATATGGAATTTTGTAGACATTTTATTTTATGCTCACTGTTCACCTACACTGAATTATCTGAGAGAGAGAGAATTCAACAAAGATTAGTAAATAAAAATGTCAGTCCTGTGCTGTAGATATATACACACAGGGTGATCTTTGACTTTTTCCTCTTGATGCCATGAAAAAAGATTCTATACTCTGCCCTTTCTTCATCGATAAAGCTCACTCGTCCTCATTCAAGTTTCCATACAAAAACTGGATTCTTTTTATTTGGGAAAATGCCCCTTAACAAAGCAAAAATCATAATGTGGGAGCTGAAATGCTTGAAGTCTTGATGTATCCTAAAGCAGCAGTGAATGTTTTACACATTTCATGGGTTTTCCTCCACAATTTTTTGAGAAACTCTGAGGTGGTTGGTTTTGGTTTTGGGGTTTTTTTCATGCCTGTTTAAAGGAAGGTATTAATTCAGCTGCTGGAATTGGACTTAGCTGCCAAGGAGTGGTGATGTTTTTCCAGTCATGCCCCCCACCCCTCAGCAGTGAGAGAGGTACAACTGCTGAAGTCCTTTGCTCAGGCATGTAACCCCATTTGAGTCAATGAATCTACTTACGTAACAAATATTTTCATATGGGCTTAAAGGATTAGGCTCCAGAACTGTGTCTTTTCACATGCATTATCCAGGTTTTAAAATGTATTAGCTGCAATTCTAAGTAAAAAAAAAAAGATATTTATAATGTAGTATTTCATAGGCTTAAATGTATTCATAATTTAACAGTGCAAATACTAATGTACATATTGTACAGTTAAAATTTTAAAATCTGAATATTTTTATATCCCTGAATTTGAAGAAGTTTGTTACAATATCAAACTAGATTTGTTAGGGGTTTAACCGCAGTGTTATGGATGAAATATTGCTTGGATTTTAGTCAGGGGTTTAAGTTGAAAAATGTTCAGTGCAAACCAGCTTAATTTTGTCTACTAGGTATTAAAAGCTCTGTATGCATGGTGGGGCTATGTAAATACTCTCTATGGCCCTCTTAATCTTGCAAGTATTATTTATGGGTCAAGCAAAATGTAAACTATATAAATGTAAAAACCACACAAGCTTGGAATATATCATTACAACCAGTACACAACTCCTGTGGATGTGGATTTTTTTATTACTGTTCCTCTCCTTGCCCAAAAATAATTTCTGAACTTTGCCCACCTAAAGGAAGAGAGATACTGAGTTGTTCTAGAAGGCAAGCCTGTCCTTGAACAGCAGCAGCCCTGGTAAACTCCTTGCCCCCTATCACTCCTAGTTTTATGGGCCAAGCACAATGTGTGCCTGTGGTCAGTTGGGGTCAGCTGTCCTGGCTGTGTCCCCTCCCATCTTGTGCACCCTCAGCCTCTGCACTGGCAGGGTGGGGTGAGAGGCAGAAAAGGCCTTGGCTCTGTGTAAGCTCTGCTCAGTAACAGCTCCAACATCCCAGCATCAGCAGCACCCCTGCACCAGCTACCGAGAAAAACATTTAACTCCATCGCAGCCAAACCCAGAACAACCTTCATGACAGTGAAAAACACTAAGGCAAAACATTATCCTCATCCTCATCAGAACTGAAAATCTTGCAGAGAAGAGGGTGACAAGGGTTTGCTCCATCTCTGATATCTAACATTACCTCCTTTCATATCGATAGTGATTGGGTTGCTCATTTTCACCTTCACTGCTTACACTGTCACTCAAAGCTGCCAGCTCACCCAAGTGAGGTTACAGAGGTAACCATTTCAGTCTCAGCAGATAGCACTGAATTTCCATACTCCTTCAATTTCCACCTTTTTTATTTTTTAAGGGTATCTGCAACATTAACAAGTGCTGGGAGTAGTTTCTGTTTTCAGGAGCTCTCAGAGTGACAAATTCCTCCATCACAGCATGTTTCCTTTCCCCAGTGCTCTTCCTACAGCATTCCAGAGCCCCAGTGAGGCTGTCCATTAGACCAGGGTCAATTTTTTTTTACACTGACGTGAAACTAATCCAAACTACATACCTGTAAAAGAAGCAAGACTAAAAGCCATGTTTCTTCCTTAAGTTAAGGAACTGCCATAGTATATTTTACTTACATCAACTGAAAGCATACAGCACAGAAGGTTAAATGCCAGCATTCAACACAATGCCAAGTATTAGATGGAAAATCAATTACTTAACACTCACAGATGTGAATTAAACCTTTCACAGAAACAGCACTTTTATAAAAAATTCAACAGACTCCTTAGTTCATAAGTAAAGTTTAATCAATTTTAAAAAGTCAGATTAAGCACAGTAAGGATTAGGCACAGTGAACGGAGTTACAGCCCAGTCACCAGTGGGACTCCAGAGGGCTCAGTTTTAGGGCCAGTGCTCTTTAATGAAGATAGATGAATCAAATGTACATTGAGTTTGCCAATGATAGTAAACTGAGAGGAGCTGTGGGCTCCCTGAAGAGTAGAGAGCCCTGCAGAGAGATCTGAACAAACTAAGGAGCTGGGGGGGCAATCATCAGCTGCATGAATTTTAACGAGTACCAGATTCTCCACTTGGGACAGGGCAGTCTGGATTATCCATAAAACTTGAGGAATGAGAAGCTGGATAGCAACCCTACAGAAAGAGATTTGGGGGTCCTGGTTGAGGGAAAGTTGAATTTGAGTCAGCAGTGCCCTGGCAGCCAGGAGGGCCAGGAGTGTCCTGGGGGACATCAGGCACAGCATCACGGCCGGGCAAGGGAGGGGATTGTCCTGCTCTGCTCCGACCTGGGGCAGCCTCACCTCGAGTGCTGAGGGCAGTTCTGGGTGCACAATACAAGAAGGATGTAAAGATACCGGTGCACCCAGAGTAGAGTGATCAAGATGGTGAAAGGAAGAGCCTGGAGGACACAGAGGAGTGACCTCACTGCATTCTACAGGCTCCTCAAGGTGGGCAGCAAAGGGGCAGGCACTCAACTCTCTCTGGTGACCAGTGACAGGGCTCAAGGAAATGGAATGAAGCTGCATCAGGGGAAGTTCAGATTGGATGTGAGAGGGGAGTCAGTCACTGGAACAGGCTCCCCAGAGAAGTGGTAGAGCCCCAGGCATGCCAGAGTTCAAGAAGCATCTGGACAATGCTCCGTCCTAATGGTCCCGTGAGCAGCATGGAGTTGGACTCAAACCATCCCTACATGCACTTTCCAACTTGAGATATTCTGTGATTTTGTGGCTGTAAGCCTAGTTCATACTTTACAGAAAAGCACTTGAAAACTTGTACACTTTTATAACAGTAAACTTAATCAGCCTTCTAACAAAGGAAACTCCTAACAAACTCTGCAGTAGCAATGGAGATTTTTAATCCAAAAATATTTTACACACAATTTTTTTTATTTTTCCATTAGCATTTCTAACCCAAAGTAGAAACTCTGATGTAACACGCTGAAGGCTCTCTGTGCTGCAGGCAAGTAGTGAAGTGCTGTAGTTAAGCTTCTCCATCAGAGGAGACTTTGGCTGATCACCGTAAACCAGGTGTTGCCAGAAGGGGTGGGTCAGGTCTTGCTACTATGTCACAACTGCTTGCCTCTCCTCCCTGCTTTCCCTCCCCAAATTAGCACCCTGTAGGGTCCATGAGCTAATTCCTACTCACTGTGCAGCCCACACAATCCCAGGTGTTAACAAGGGTAGTTGCAGGTCATCTCCTTTGAGCATTGCAAACTCTCAGGAGCAAGAAAAGCCAACTGCAACCCCCCCTTTACTGACATGAAAACTAACCAGACATCTCAGGAATCTGACACAGTACATATTTAATATATCGTATCAAGATTTGCATGTGTAAGATGCTGTGATACATACAGTACCTTGTACATGCAAAATTATTGCTACTTCATTAACATTTCTGCACACCATTCTGATGAAATCTGGAAACAGTGAGTTTATTAGTCCTTTCAGAGTTTCACATGTTCCAAATGCAAATGTATACAAAACAATCATGGTTAAACTTGCCTCTTTGTGATTATGACTCAAATGATCCCTCTCCTAGAATGTTCCTTAAAAAACAGTACGTTAATAAATGTATTCAATTGTCAGGATTCCACTGAGTCCTAATTAACTCTCACTGGCAACCTCTTGACTTTCCTCAAGCACTGCTCCCCAACTACAGGCTGTTCTGTCAGGTCAAAGGTGGTGCCAGAATCATTAACCAGAATCACTAGGTTTGAAATGATCGAGAATTTGAGGCCTCAGGGATAAACTTTGTGTTACATCTAATCCAAAGCATCCTGGGATTACTGCAGAGATGGTCCTGCTCAGTTTCCTTGCCCATCCCTGATACCTGAATTTCTGCTTCTTGAAGCTGGAAAGAATTCCACACAGCCTCCGTAATGTTAAAACTGATGGATAAAAAGGCTTGGGAAGTTGTCAGGGGGGAGAGGGACAGAGTAGGAAAAGGGACCTTTCCCTGCTCAGCGGCTGCCTGCAGCTACATTCACAGACTACAGTATAGTCAAAAACAGAGCAAAGAGTAACAAAAAATGGAATCCATCCCATATAATACTGCTTACTAGTAATGAGTCAGGATATGGAAAACACTAAAATTTAAAAGGCATTTTCAGAATCTGCAATTAGAACAAAAAACCAGCATTTCTTACACCAAGTAGTTAATTGCTCTGGCAGATACAAGAGATAACTCCTAGTGTAATTTTACAGAATTCAGCTGAACTTTTAAATTAAACCAGAATAAATAAATCATAATTGTGACCAATTTTGCAAGTTTTCCCTTCCTATAGCATATATGATAGCAAGACATATTTGTGCATAACTTGAGGAATGAGAGCAGCTTTGTGTAATTTTAATAAAAAATACAATGTTTTGTATTACACTTACACGCATCAAAACATAAGTGTACAGACATCAGACTGATTTCTTCCAGGGACACTGTGTAGAGGTTTCAAAAATAGTTTGTTGCTTTATAGCATTTTTTAAAAGAACATCCTTTCAAAGGAATATATGTCAACATGAACAGGAAGGAAGAACACAGTCATGGAGACCACAGTGGACAAGGGAACAGCCACCTGAGCAATGACAAAGGAGCTCCTTGGCTTCAAACCTTGAGCAAGAGCTCCTCCTTCCCCACTAAAGCAGATTTATGTACTATGGGTATACACAATGCACAGGATCTAAAAACACATTTTTGTCCTTAGTATGAGCCCTCTTTGAAAGATTCTGATACATCTTGGTTGGCTGCATCGTACTGMGCAATGAAATGTTTGAGTTCTTCAATGCATCGCTCACCGATTTCATGCAAATTCTGCCTCAGGGCAAACTGAATGGATTTCTCTAACGATGGATCTTTATCAATCAGCATCTTCACTACCATACCAAAGGTTTCACAGTCTTGTTTGTAGACCTAGAAACAACATATTTTAAAAAATTATTAAATGCAAGACTCTTTACCACACCAACAGCCCTTATTGAGTTAGATCCAAATGTAACAAAGTATATTGGATTTAACGTGAGTTTCAGCTGTAAAACTTATTGGCCTTTTTCTCTCTTCTGACCAGTGCTAATACAAATATAACTAGCTCAGCACTATATAGATACCAAAAATAACTTTCATGGAATGAAATGTCATGAAAGGAGACATTAAGTTCCCCTTAGAGCAATATTTAATAAATAATGGTAGGAGAAATCTTTTCAATATATTTTAAATTAAACTGTGGAATGTCAAGCAATCTCAATCTTTACACAAATCACCAGTAACTTAGTTTGTAAATCTTTTCTAATACTCCAAATACAAGTTGTCTATAAATAATTCCACCAAATTGTGTTTGCTTGTTGGATATCTGTTTCTTGTAGAAGTCCCTGACAAAGATGACTTCAGTTAGTTTGGATGCACTGGTGATTCAATCACTAAGGATTAAAGAGCATTTTACCTGAACCCATCTGACCTTCTCCCACAGGGAATGAAGAGTTTGCAAGCCAGCTATGTACCACACTTGAGATGAAGTAACTTTTTATTATCACTGCAACTGTTTTTCAAACAAACATCTGACCATGCTCTTAGGTGGTTTCCAAAGCAAGTCAGTGACATTTAAAATTTTCTTTTTCCAGATTCCAACTGAGTTTATTAATCTAAACACCCAATAAAAAAAAGGAACTTTTCAAAATCTTCCAGCTGTCAGATGGAGTTTATTTACAAACCTCTTAGGCCAATTTCTGTTTAGAAAATAGCTTTTTAAATGAAGACAAGTAAGTTTTTTATCTCCATGTATGTTTCTTTGAGGAAAAAAAACTAAAATGTTGATATTCTTCAAAGTATGACTATCTTTTAGTATTGTGTGCTTGTTTCAGAACTTGCTTTTCACAAAGATGTGCAACCCTTTTCTTTCAAATTTATCTGTATTGTGGACACAAATAATACAACTGATAAGCAGTTCCCCTTTACTAAAACCAAAGGAAAAAAACAAACAAAATACACCCATCCCACCCCCAACAAAAACCCACCATAAGAACCCATTCACAAAAACCAGACTGAGATCAGTTCAAGCACACTCATATCAGAAAACCAGTAAAAAACCCCAACATTCTGCAGAAAACGAAACTATTCTCAGAAGCAAATAATAAAGACTGTTCTCAAATGCTTAATAGCATATTCTATGAAAACAATTTAAAGCCAGACTCACTTTTCAAACACAGGTTGCAAATAGAAGAAAACCTTTTGGAAAGAACTGATTTTCAGTGGAGATTTACAAGTCAAAAGGAAGAGTGCAGCCCAAACCAAACTCGAGCTAAACATCTTAAGTATGGAAAGGCACACGGCATTTTTTCAGAGAGGGCTTTGCAGTTCTTTGGCAGTAAAATATCAGCACAAAACCCACACTCTCAGAGTTTATGCTCCACAGCAAGTAAAACATGGTACTTGGAAAAAGAACTTCAAACAGTAAATCTGCTTTACTTTTTTCTCTCTTTCCAAAGAAAGAGCTCAGAAGAATCACTGTCTCTGATTAGCTGTATGACAGTCAGGATTTTGCTGAAGTTATCCTTTCAAGTACTCACAGCTTGCTCACACCTTCACAGAAGGATTTCTGAAATGGTTTTTCTCCCCAAAGCCATTATGCATTGGAGAAAATAGCTAATTTTCTTTTTTTTCTTATTTTATATCCATCTGACCCATTTTATCACAAAGTGGTCAGACCAAGGATGTGTGAATGATCCTCCACATGTACACAGCCATGGTAACTGTGAGTCTGCAGACAACCCTGACTCTGAGAGACAACACAGGCACTGCCCCTCCTCCTGCAWGGGGAGGCACCCAAAGCTACAGCTGAAGGAAAACCTCTACTTTTCACTCAAACTAAAGGCAAATAGTGCTGACACTTCTCCCTCTCACCACAAAAATTCTTTTGACTCTTAGCATATAAATATTAGCTTGATCTAAGCACCTTTTTCTTCCAAAATTTCACAAAAGAAGACTTGGAGAAGAATCAAGAGAGCCATTGTCGTCACTGCATCTGAAGTCAGAAGTCACTTCACTGTCACAACAACCTGAAAACTGAACACCTTCATACAAGAGATGAATGTTTTCAATACTTCGTGACAAAAGGCTTAAAAAAAATAGAATTTACCTAATTTAGGGGAAGAGGGCAAAGGTGGAGCAGGAAGGCAGTTTTGAAAACAGAAAACAAAGGAAACAGCTCAGCTCCTCTAACAATAATTGAGCAATTTTCTCTCAACAAGCTTTCTGCTCCAGCTGCTAATTCTGATCCTCCTGGTGCAATCTGCCTCCTTCCCAATTGTGCTGATAAATCTATTTGTATAGCTGCAACGTAAATTACATCACTGAGATGATCCCTTTTAAAATTACTTTCCCCCCCCAATTAATGTGATTCAGTGATTCAATTCTAAAACCAGATGCATCAGCACAAATGAAAGAACTGTGAGCCATGGTCTTAAAGTGAAAATAGTTTCACAAACCAGTTTATATCTGCAGCCAAGGCACAACTACCAACTTTCAGAGATAAGTTACTATGCTTTAGCAAAGGAAATGGAGAAAATTACAAGAATATCAATACAGAATATGTTGATTACAGCTTAATGGTATAATGAAATATTTGAAAAATTTGTGAAAGCACTGAAAGATCTTGAAAGAATAGTATGGCAGCATGACATTAACATTTATTTTAGACAGAACAAAAGGAGGCTACTTCTGAAAAATATTTTTCAGAATGTGATGCTTGAGGAAGAAAGAAAACTGCAGAAACCAAGCAAAAAGAGCTCTCTGCTGGAGAAAAATACTGGAAGAACTTGTGACCCAACAAGGTATGAAAATAACCCTATCTTTAAAATTCCAGCTGATACTGATTTTGAGCTCAGACTATGGAAAGCTCATCTGTAAACATCTGGAACTAAAACCTAAAAATGATTCCATGTGTGAGGAAAGAAGAAGTAACATTTTTAAAATGAAAAACAAGAAAGGGAATTATACCAATGACATGATTATTCTGTCTGACATTTAAATCAGATAATCCTGAAAACAGCTAGAGCCACATTGTGATCATTTACTAGGGTCCTAACATACATTTCTTCTCTGACCTAAGCTACAGCCCCAGCATAATGGAAAGAGTGTGTGAAATGTTAGTAAGCAGATGAAGGAGAAGCAGAAACAACTGTTCTGCTTCCAAATACATAAATATATTTATTTTATATACACACACTGTATATATCTATATGTATCTATACATATATATGCAGTCTTGCTTTTCCTATGCATGACGAATATTTAAGCTGAATCCAAATTCTCTTTGAAGTGTTTTCCAAAATCAGCACATCTAGCATCTGTGAGGTCAGAGGATCACAAATATGCATACTTTTGCATTATTCTCAAGGAATTGTAGCTCTTTTCATTGTTACATGACAACAGGATGGATGCTCAGGCTGAGCTCAGCCCTTTGCCATGCCACTCTCTGTGTAAGTGCTTCATACAAATATAAAGGTGTGATGCACCTGCAATATGTTAGTGAACATGCCTCATTTATTTGAGAAACCAAAATTTGCACTTAGACCTGTTTAAATATTATTGAAGATGTTTACTTCCAGACCTAGGCAGAGAAACTAAGATGTTAGCTGTCCATGTTGGAGATAATCAAGCCCTAGTACTCTCCACGCAGAATTAAACTTTTGAGAACTACCTAATCTCCATCTATGCCAAGTTTTCACAGTGAACTTCAACAGTGTCTGTTGAACCATCAACAGTGTCTAAACTACAATGTATTTGAGAAATGACAGAAATTATGGATACCACACACTCTCTCCTTCCAGCTCTGCTCTGGAATGTTACCCTCTGAACAGGAAGGAAGAGGGGCAGAAGCAGGCTCTTTCAATGATAATCTAGAAGTGGTCTTGGCTTAAACCAAAGAAAAACACGTTGAATGGCTTTGCTGGTGGGTGAAATGATATCCAGCTAGGGAATACCTGGATGACATTCCTACTACTCACTGATGAAGTCCATATAACTTTCTTTTCCTGACTAGCACAGCATTATGTTTTTCTCCAAAACTGTTCCAGAGCTGTATGTGTGCTTTGTGCAAAAGAGCAGTTGGACAACATAAACAGCAACGACAATGAAAACTAGAACTTAATATGTCCTTCCCTGCAAATTACTACAGGCTGCACAAGAGTCAAAAGAGTAGTCTTGATCTCAAAGCCTTTCATACCTGGCCAAAAAACAGCTTCAACAGCAAGAATAGACATATTACTCAACAGGAGTGTGGACAAGCCTTATTTCAACCCATGCACCAAGGTTCCCCAGCTTAGCTCTACAGTCTGTGCAAAGAAAGGTTTTTTAATGTCTCAAGGTGACTCAGAACAGCTTAAACCACAGCTGTTTTAAACAGCCTTTGAGGGAAAGGGAAACAAGAGAGAAGTGCTCTGATAATTGGAATGACTCTCCAAAAGATTGGTCCCACCAGGACACAAAAGTGCTGACTTTATTTTGCTGACTAATGACTCTGTTATTTTTCAGCTTGTAGAAAGTAGAACTGAGCAGCAAATGGGAGATGCAAACCTCTCCTGTTGCAGAAAAGATTCCTCCAGATATGGTTTTGAATGAATATGACACTGGGGTACTTTTTAAAATGTTCTTGGCTTCATGCATGCATGAAAGCCACTTCATCCAGAGACTTGCATATGCCAAGCTTGAGCAGCTATATGCAGGAGATGGGCAAACTCCAGTGCAGAAGGGGGAACTTCTGCTCACAAAGGCAAGCAGGACCAGCAGACCACATCCATTAGGTGGATGTGATTGATTTAGCAAGTGCAAGCCCGTGATTTGATCTGCAATTTCCAACACCTTGCTCTTTTTCCTCACAAACTTCCCTGGATTTTTTCTCAGTATTCTTAGCATTCCAT